TAAATCCGTTGGCGGCGTTTCAATTGATCTTTTACATCGGGGATATGGAGATTAATAAATACTTGAGATAACTGTGATGAATATGTAGTATATATTCTGACCTCAATTATGACAAGATACTCGAACCAACGAAATTCAACCGTATGACAGCAGCTTCGTCGTTTTAAGAAGTGGGGTCGGTGTAATATCGCCACCAGCGCTTCAGTGGTCGTTTTTTATGTAAATTTTGTTGTTGACCAACACATACCCGCACACACACACATATATATGCAACGTATGAAGATTGTCTCAGATATATATATATATATATATATATATATATCCAAGTATATAATTGGTATATATGGAATGACTTCCAATAACCAACAATTACTTTCTTCAAAGAGTGCTCAGTACAAAGTAAAAGCAGATATAATTATTATTTATAAAAAATTATAACATAAGTATGTATAATTTATACTTTCTAATTATTAAAATTATAACATAAGTATGTATAATTTATACATAAATATGTATAATTTGTACTCATGTTATAAGTATGTTATACTTATGTAATCATTTTTTTAAAAATAATTAATATATATATATATATATATATATATATATATATATATATATATATATATATATATATATATATATATATATATATATATATATATATATAGTCTTAAATTTCATTGAAAGATCACAGTTTAATCACAGAACATTTAAAGGAATACATTCACAGTTAGACAGATATTAATCAAATATTCAAAATAATAATAAATAATAAGGAAAAACGTATAATTCTGGAAGTCCTTTATATAAGAGAATTGCGGGCAAAAATATATAAAGTCTACTACATAGTTAGCAACAAAGTTCTGAAATGTTTGTAGCAGCAAAGTGTTATATATAAAGTACTAAATTAAAATGCTAAAATATTTAAATGCATAAAGGTAAAATATATTTTAAATTTACAGTGTACATGCATAAGATATCCATAGATATGCAACCTAAGAAGATGGTCTCATATGAGATTGCAAGTTCTTCAGAATGTAAAAAATATTTTAGAGAAAAGTTTGGAATATTTCTTCGTAAAAACTCTGCAGAAAACAAGAAATTAATTCGTGGACTTGAAAGGATTAAAACTATAATAAATTGGCATAATGCGTCTAAATTACTTAACCAAACATGCTTGAATGAATATATATATATATATATATATATATATATATATATATATATATATATATATATATATATATATATATGAAAAAAAAATATACTGAAAAAAACAAACAAAAATCCTAATATGCGATTATGTTGTTTTAATGTCAACGTCGGACGTTGCGACGTTGACATTAAGCATTAAAACAACATAATCGCATATTAGGATTTTTGTTTGTTTTTTCAGTATATTTTTCTTCATATATATATATATATATATATATGTGTGTGTGTGTGTGTGTGTGTGTGTGTGTGTGTGTGTGTGTGTGTGTGTGTGTGTGTTAAAAGACCTTGCGCCATAGCCTTCTTGGGGAGGTCATGTAAATAGTATACATGAGATATGCGATATTTACCAATGAAAAGCTGTAGTACAAATTACTTTAAACAGACATTATGGAGTGTGATAAAATAGCAATCCTTATATATGGCAGGTCATGTTGGACAATCTACCAACATATCAATTAGGGAATTGAGGCAGCATTAATGTCATTCTACAGAGGAATGTTGTAAAGACAATGGTCTGAACATATGAGTAAAGAGGAAGATTTAGGGAAGATGCAGACAAAATGAAAGCTTTTGTATAGAGCCAAAAATGTGGACATTTCTAGTAAAGATAATGAGGAAAGTGGACAAGGCGAATTTGACATTCACGGGGCACAATGGAGACAGGATTGACAGAACAAATCATTTAATAACTTATGTCATGAGCTTCGGTTGGTAGATGAGGGAGAAGGAGTGATAGCAAAAAGTCAAAAGATTCTAAGAGTTACAAAGACAGAAAGTTATTGAGGGTCATGATCAGCCACCTTCTGAAAGAAAATGGCGCCTAGATAAAAAATATTAGCATATTCATAATTGTACAACTGATAATTTTTATCGTTATATTACTTTTCGGTTTGCATCGTGGATTAGAGTTTTGTGGTTTTTCTTATTACAAAATCATGATGCTATATTTGCTACAATAATACGAGCTTTTCAAGTAGAGCTTAAAAATGGCTTCATATATTAAAACAACTATGAAACTTTATCTTAGTCCAGTACATTAATAGATACAAATGTTTTTAATGTTCATGTCCTAACTTTATTTATAAAGACTGTATGTTGTGGATCTTTTTTAAATGAATCTTTCTGTTGTCTGCCATCATTTCTTTTTCGTTGAAATTTATATTCGATTCTCTTGGTAAGAAAGAAGCGGAAATATCATTGTGTCGCATTCACAGTGATTAGAAGAACGTCTTTAACATATTCTCCCCGGGATACTTTTCAATCTTTTATACAAGGAATGCTGCGGAACCCAGTTTGCAACATTTCTCTTGGCGCATAGTACACGTGAAAGCTGTTACAAAAAGTCAGTGATTCTTTAGAGGAATAAGATTTGAAGATTCAACACATTTTAATATTATAATTAGAAAATGAACTAAACTTCTGCTATAAATTTATCGTAATCAATACATTTGTACGATCTGTATGCTTTCTTTAAATTTTTATAACAATATTCTATGGATGCATTTGCCGGCCTTCCTACGAGGTGTATTATATTATACAGTACTGTTCGATAAAAGTGACTCACCTGATTTTTTTTTTTTTTTACTAAATGTTCTCTTCTCCGATGAAACGAAAGTTGAGCTAAATTCAAAGGATAAGCGATCTAAAATCCGAAGAAGAAGATTTGAAAGCTCTTTGAATTTAGCAATAAATACTGTTAAGCATCCGTTCAGTATAATGTTCTGGGGATGCTTTTATTTTCATGGAACTGGTTTCTTAAAACCTATTGAAAAGAACCTCAGGAGCGAGCGGTACAAGAGAATTTTAGAGTCTTGTCAGCTCCCATCTGCTGAAAGGGTGAAAATCGACCCCCACCAGGCTCATTTTTATGCAGGATAATGCTCCCTGTCACAAATCAAAATTGATGAAGGAATACTTTGATGAGAAGCAGGTGAGTGTTATGACATGGCCTCCCCAAACTCCTGACCTCAACCATATAGAAAATTCATGGAGCATTATAAAGGATCTCGAGAAAGCAGTTGAGCAACAAAGATGATTTCATTGTGAATTTCATATCCAAATGGAATTCAGTGCTTGGAGATGAGATTTGACCTAATCAAGTCAATGACAAAAAGGGTTGAAAAGGTTATTTAAAATAAAGGAGGACCCATAGATTATTAAATATTTCGAACTATATTACCTATTATAAATAAATTATACCTCTATTATTCTTTATTTAAAGCTGTTCGGTTATGTTTCTATTGATTACTAGTTGCAAGAAAATAAGCGAGTCACTTTTTTGCACAGAGTTTTTCCCTAAATCTAATTTATATCCAAAATTATAATTATCAATAGAATACATTAGGGTGAGTAAACTTTTTTACTAGGTAGTCGGGAAGGGGTCTTTATATTAGTAAGATTAAAAATTAGTTTGACCCCCAAAACAATAGGCGAAAAAAATTTTAAGTAAAAAAAAAATCATGTGAGTCACTTTTATCGAAGAGCTCTGTATAATCTGGAATATTGCCCAGAAGAAATACCCGTGTATATTTCTCCAGTGTCTTTCGTCTTATGACCATCGATGATTATTCAGTGAAAGTGAAGTGACATGATTTCGGAAAAATTGCAAAACATGATTTATCTTGTGATTAGTATTTTACATATCTATATCTGTGAGCATGTAATAATTTATCAGAATTAATCTGCAGAAAAAGGCAATATGTATAAAGGGAAAAAGAAACAACAGGAAAAGTCTATGTCGGTTAGCCAACGCGATTCGACCAATGCAGACTTTTTCAAGGCAAAAGCGAAATAAATTTATTTGGACAAATTATTTATAAAGAAAAATAAAATGTTAGTAGTAACAAGAAGAATTGTGAATTGATCAATCGAAAAATTGCGTCATTTACTTTTTATGTTTCAATAGAATTTTTCATATATAGAAATATTGTTTTGATTGCTGTGAAGAAGGTTCAACCGTTTTCTTTTGATTTCTTGATATATTTGTTGTATATCTTGCCTTAGGTGCGCAATGCCTCTCTTAGGAAAGGTGAGATTAAGAAAAACAGGACCGTAGATTAGTATTTGGATAATATTCAATGGCGGCACTCTCGAAGATTTTTCTTCTGTGTTAATTATTTTCTTTTTTTATGAGTGTAGCATTTCCAAAATCAAAATTCTGATTGAATTTATTTCTTTGTATGACCAGTGCATTTTTCAAATTCTTATTTGTTTGAGTTCATCTATGAGTACAAAACTCATGGTTGCTTTTTTGTAAATTAACTGTATGTCTTTACAATGTATTGTGAGAAACAATATTGGCAATTTGTTTTATATATGCTTACTTCTGAAATATTATTGTTATGGGTGTTTTTGATCTGATTATATCCATAATAGTTTTGGAAGTGTTTGCGATTATTTGAATGTTGTTTAGACGGAAAAGATTCTTCTGGATAGTGGACGTGACAGATTTGATCGGTAAGTATCCTTGTATAATTTATAATTATGCATGATGATGTTATTATTGTTGCGGCTATATATTTTCTATGCCTTTCTATTTCCGTATCGTAGGATTTTGAATGTTTTCTATGTATATTTCATCTTTGGGTAAATTGAAATAAAATCTATAATTATATCAGATTTAATCTTAGACGAGTAGGTTGAATAGAATCTGGCCAAGTCACTTTTGTTGGTACGTTATTGTTTTTCAATAAAAAGATTCAGTTTTCTACAATTTTATCGCATTGAAACAATCTTAAAAACTCTTGGGGAAAATATAGCAATATGAGAATCCTGTCCAAAGGGGCTGACGTCCATATCACGTTTAAACACCGTTTCTCATACGATCACCGAAGTTAATCAACGTTGGCCCGTCATTACTGAGATGGGTGACCTATTTGGAAGACGAGGTGCGGAAGTGCATATGTTGTAAATGAAACCACACGGGATTTCTCATCGCCGAGTCGAATTCAATTCCACTTGGCTACTGAATATTTAAACTTATTTTCCAGCTTTACATAATCTGCAATATGTTTTACAATTAAAACGGTTAAGAGAATTCGGATTGCGGGACGTCGAGAATTCATATGACCATTACGGACAATTGATTCTAGTTTGTCGAGAATGCCTTTTCATATGTCGGATATGATTCATTTTGTCGTGGAATCCGGTTGAAAATTTGAAGATGATGTTTTTTGATATCTGAGAAACTGACACATTTTAACCCATTATTAAACAATGTGAGTCGGTAAGCTTATGACTACATGCATCTACTTTAGTTTTGTTCTATGTACGTGTTTATTTATTTTTCAGATGATCACTTATAATGTTAATTTAATGTAACTGTTATGTTTAAATTTCGGATGTACCTGTTTATTTCTTTTTAAATATAAAAAAAACACGTAAAATAAATGACCGATACACGATTTTCCGTTTCATCGTTGCAGAAAACGTCGCCATTTATAAAATTTACTTCTAATTCCAGCAATCTAAAAACATAAGAATTCCAACGAATACAAAACGCTTAAAATGTTGAACACACAGAGACTCGAAAGTAATCGAATCCTACAAAACAAATGAATTTTGAACATTTTATTAATACATTTAACACCCATGCGAAACCCCGAAGTCGGAAAATGGAAGTTAAATATATATATATATACTGTGAGGTCGACAAAATCAAAAATAATCACCCGTATGCGCGGAATTAAATCATAAAATGTCGACAATTTATCTATCTAACCCTATATATATATATATATATATATATATATATATATATATATATATATATATATGTGTGTGTGTGTATATATATATATATATATATATATATATATATAGAGAGAGAGAGAGAGAGAGAGAGAGAGAGTGAGAGAGAGAGATAGGTAGAAAGATAGCTTCCAAATATGTGGTGCACTACAATTTATATAACAAAAAATTATTCATACAGAAAGTATATTATTATCAATAAAACATTTTTAAAAAAAATTTCGATTCGCATTATATTTTATCGTCTCAGATGCTATCTGAATTATATTTAAAGAAAATAAAGAAAAGAAAATAATTTCTGTACCTGAAGATGATTGAATAGTACAGTCAAAAGTACTTGCGTATTTCAGAAAAACCTTATACGGCTTATAATTTAAAAAAAACAAGGATCATAACATTCATCGAGTGATTAGTAGGTTAATGTATCTTTAAAGATTTTGTTACCGAGGGGATTTCGCCATTTTATATCATTAAATTTACCAAATTTACCAATTTATTTTTGAATAAATGATTCATTGTAATACACTCACATAGAGCACACACAAACAAACACACACATATATATATATATATATATATATATATATATATATATATATATATATATATATATATATATATATCAACGATGATTGAACTCACTATTCATTGGAATCATAACGGATCTAATAAGAGAATCTCACTAAGGATTATGGGAGAGTTAGAAGTCCAAATTATCATCCACATGAAAATTATTTATGGTGGAAAATATGCTAATTAGGTGCCAACTTTCAAATATTCTGTTTACTTTGTATATATATATATATATGTGTGTGTGTGTGTGTGCGTGCGTGTATGTGTGTGTATAGTATTGAAATTGAAGATCACAGCGTTTTGCAAAAGGTGGCATTTAAACACGCGACTTCGTTTCACATAAGACTGAAATCTTTGATGATATCGAAAGATACTGAAAGTTGAAAATTCTACGCGTACTTTCATACTATTCCTTTTCCGATGTTGATATTTATGTGTGTATGCTTAAATTGATAACTGAGAAAATGGAGAGACATTTTATTCGTTTTCATATGCTTAAATAAAATGAAAATAATATATACACACAAGAAAAAACAGTCATTAAATTTTTGTACAGTTAGTGCCTTTGCTGAGTATATTGTTCGTAAGTACTTTGCTCGTTTCAGAAGTAGACATATTGATCTTGAAATACGTAAAGATACTTGAAGGATTTCATTAGTTGATTATGACTAAATTGAAATTGTAATACAAAATAATCCAAGTCACACAATATGGGAGAAGGTACATTGCATTGAATGTCAAAATATAAACATATAACATATATCTATGTGGAAATTATGCTAGAAATCCGGATTTCAGTCAAAGGAAATCTTATATGCTATGTTTGAGAAAATTCGATAGCGTCTCCTTCGATCACCTCCAGACGTCGCTGTCATTAGAATTAGTATTCATTAAATAATGTAAGCTGCAGGAAGACATAATTGCATGAATAATATTTAAAATTTTAGAATAGTATATTTACTTCAGACTTGAGAGTTCGAATGTATGGGGCGCCTAGCGATGATTGAACTCACTATTCATCGGGATCGTAATATACCTGACGAGACAAGCTTACTAAGGATTATGTGTCAGTTAGAATACAAATTTTCCATCCGCATGAAAATGTTTGTCGTGGAAAGTATGCTATTTCGGTACTAACTTTCATATATTCTGTTTACTTTGTTTGTGCATATATATATATATATATATATATATATATATATATATATATATATCCATCTTCAAGCAAATTTCGCTTGAAGATGGGACAGAGCTTGTACTTTAATTCAATTTAATTCAAATAATTATATTGTAGATTTTGGCTCTTGTTTTGAAACATGAGAACTCTTATGTAGCGATGGAATCATATTTTTAGATAAATGATTATATTTAGGCTCTACATTTGTATCGAGCACTGTTTTTTTAAAATAATAACAAAAATACTAGAGAAATTTGGATTATTTACCTGACGAGTTCTTTTCCATTTTCTATATTTCTTCACACACACACACACACACACACACACACACACACACACACACACACACACACACACACATATATATATATATATATATATATGTGTGTATATATATATATATATATATATATATATATATATATATATATATATATATATATAAATTCAATTCAATAGAAAACAGACAACGTTAATAATATATTTCCCCAGAGAATCATTTTTTAACTGGTTGATATGACCACATTTTCAAATGTGAAAAAAGTTCTAAATTTACATATAATTTTTATACACTTTTAGGGATAGTTTTAAGCTGATGTAAGGTGATACAAAGGGAGAAGGAGGAATAGTATGATAGATATGGTCGAAATTTTTAGGGATGGAAGGGATAGGAATAATTTTAAATCTAATTTTATTAAAATACTAAAGCGTACGGGAGGGTGGTAAGGATCAGATATTAAATATTTAATAACTTATTTCACAGGAAACGAGATAATGGGAAAAAGAGAAGTAGAGATATAAGAATGCAGAAGTGGAAGCAGGGCTGTGAGGAAAGAAAAGGGACTAGAATATGTGGAAAGAATAAAAGAATATAACGTTTGATATTAATATAAGCATTTAAAAATTTTCAATGAAATAAACTAGGAAATAAATATAATGCGAATATGAGATAAATAAACAAAAAATATTACTATTATTAACATTATAAAAATTATGAATAACAATTAAGGTGTAAAAAAAATTTATTCAAAATCTTGTGACAAAATTTAAATTTTGAATCTTAAAAAGATATAATTTGAAAATCATTTCGAAATGAAACAAGATTTAAGAGTAATAATAGTATTATTTTTGATATTGTAATATGATAAAAAGAAATAAAATAATAGCAATAATAGTAATGATAATATTCCAAACACTAAATTACCTATGAGAGGATAATGAAATAATAAGAATAATCCTAGTAAAAATAATAATAGTGATGTGGGGCCAAAGTTGGGACCACAGAAGGAAAACACGGAACACGGATTAGATGTAAGAAATATATATTAACAACAGTTTACAGAGATAGTGTAAGCGGAGCTTAATATATGTTAATGTCCAATACTGGTAGTCGTACGCGGCTCTCACTGTCTCTCTGTCTCTGACTAGAGTGTCGTGTCGCATACTTAATATAGACCTGGAAGAGTCTATTGTGTAGGTAGTTCCGGTCTCACTATAAATAGAAACAATAATATTAATCATACCAATGAGATGAATGACCTTATATATTCTTTTATATATATTGACTAAATTATCACACATATACAAATATTATACACCCACACACACAGATATATATATATGCGTGTGTGTATGTATATCCCTACATACATACACGCATATATATATATATATATATATATAAACACATATACATACATATTCATATATGTATGCACACATACCCATCTCTCTGTCTCTCTCTCTCTCTCTCTCTCTATATATATATATATATATATATATATATATATATATGCACACATACAAACATATATATATATACACAAAAAAACATATATATATATATATATCAATGTATATATATACATATATATATATATCTTTACATACATACACACACATATATATATATATCTATACATACATACACACATACACACACACATATATATGCATGTAGACACACACACACACACACACACATATATATATATATATATATATATATATATATATATATATATATATATATATATATACATACATACATATATGCATACATACAATTACGCACATACACGCCTCCGCGCGCGTGTGCATTCATGCATCCACACATCTAAATACACGCCAGGAAATGCCTCCTGATATAAACACCTACATATACATATGTGTATGCTTATGAATACCATATAACCATCTACAAATTTTAACATAACTATAATTATAAGGATACATATCAAAACACATACGCACATATTAAAATATCTATACACATATGGTGTTATTTCAATTATGGATAAGTTAAACGTCTTGAGTTTCCATGGATAGGGCTTCTAAATATTACATACGTCCTGTTATGTCTGTGTGTGCATTTAAAGATAATCTCATTGCGGT